GGCCAACAATCAGCTATACTGTCAGAAAACCCCTGAGAGAAATTAATGGAAGCTACTGCCAACAAGTTGTCTGCCTGTAAATCAATTTGTTATGGCTTTTTAACAAGAAGAAGGTAACAGAACAAAATTTCCAAATTGGCAATCCTTTTTTTTCCATCAACAGGACAGATAGAGGTTTTCTTATGTGCTGTTTACCTTATTTTGGTTATTGCACTTTAGAAATTCATATAGACTTTTTTGTGCTCCTTGAAAAACTATGATATGACCAAAGTAATTCCTTAGCATACATCACTGTCTTCATAAAATATTTCCATAATTTTGATGTCTAAAACCAAAATCTGTATCCATTATTCACACTTCACTGCAGTGCCAGAGAATTAAATCAACTATTCGAGCCTGCTGTTTGAAAAGGAAACTACCATTTTTAACCTGGATAGCCTCGACAATGACACCTTAATCAAAACATGAGATAAGGCATGGCATTCAAAATGTACCAGCAATGTTAAGCAATCTTTCAAGTTGCTCATCAAGTAAGGTGATTCAGGTCTACAAAGGAAACTCATTTCATGAGGATACTGTACACTAATTTAAGACAGTCATCTAAACTGTGCAAATTGCATCAATAAATGGTTTATCATATTTACTTTTTTCTTTTTTGGTTACATCATATTGACTTACATTAACATAGAGATTGTTTTCAGCCTTAACAGCCATATGACTTGTAAACCTAACTCCATAGTGAGTGTAATTAGTGTAGTCAAAAGGTTTGCTTTAGTGCCCAGTAATAAATGGCTTCCAAGTACATACGCACCAACCAATACATCTTCACTACCAAATTTTAACTTGTAGTTTAGACTAGTTCAGTTACTTTCAGACTGATATACCTGGTGAATGTTCTTCTCACGAGAGATTTCAAGAATTGTCTTAGTCAATGAGATTGAAGGAACTGTTCACCAGCAGTAAGATAAAAAGTACAGGAAAAGGCCCCAAAATCTTAATGAAGTAAACTACAGTAAACTCAAATCTGCTAAAAAATTGGAGCATCATAGCACCTCACTAGTACAAGCTATATCTTCCTTTTCTCTTTGTTTCTCTCCTAGTTAGAGCTAAGATATTCACACCAGAGGCTCATACTAGCTGTCGGATACCTATTTCAGCCTAGCTCTATTTCTGGTGAAGCATCAATATTATGTTTACAATGCAGATCATACATCAAACCAGAGCTAAAGCATTTTATGCCCAACTGAAACATTTTCAATGTGTTAATTGTCCATGCTACATCTGATATTTGACATCTCTAATGTATGAATAGTAATGGAAATGCTATCAGATGAGAATTTCAGGAGTACATCTAATGTGTGGCTGAAGACTAGTAATAGATAATTCACAGGGGTACCTTCACCCATTCAGGAACTGCCGCTTCACTTATGCTGTCACAGTATGGAAGGTAGGGCTTGACATCCAGAACAGGCTGGTAATGATGTAGAAGTGATAAGCCACACTAGTGGGATAGTGTTACGTATAAATAGAATACTGTACTGTGCATGTAGAAGTAGTGTATATCGAACTGAAGAATAATGAAGAGAAACTGTAACTTGGTTTAACTAGTAATGAAGTAACAGAGAAACTAACAGTTCCATCAACTAGGTCCACACCAGAAAGTAAAACTGTTTGTCCTTCCACTGAGTCCACCTAAATCATAGATAGAGTGCACTGACATCAGCTATTAAATTCTCCATTTGCCACACATGTTTAACTTTCCCTACATGCATCAAACTTTAAGAGTTCTGTTGCAGAAACAAAGGACAAAAGGATATCTTTTATTTCAATGCATCATCCAAAATTTTCTATTGAAGTGCTGTTGGAGACCTGAAGAAGTCTTTTGGAGTGCCAAAAGAGTTATTAAGGTCTCTAAAAGTCTTTCAAAAGAACATCTGCTTCAAGAAAAGTATAGGTTTCTGTACTTTTGGAAAAGCTTCTCAGAAAGTTAGGTATATGAAAACAAAAGCAGGCTTCAAAATAGCAGTGTTTGTCAATTTCCATGATATCAACACAAACCAGAGGTGGTAAAATATGAAACCTATTAAACCTGTTTCTTCGGCTTTGGTTATACATTTTTGGTAACTGCTAATCATCATACTGGGATGAAGCCCACAAACTTCAAATGCCCATGCAGCATAAGCACATGAAAGGGTGAGCTTGCTCATGTTGATTGTTCGGAGCATATGACCTCTGACATACATGATGTGTTAGTGTAACAAGCAGAAATGATTGTACCTTTGCCACAGTGAGGCCAATAGGGCATGGGCGATGAGGAGATCTAGTGGCAAAGACCCCTATCCTCTCACCTTTCAATCTCGGTACTCTTACCTATTTATTGGATGGACTCTAATGTGAGTACAAAACATGCAAAAAAATGAATTAATGCAAGCAAAAGAGAATAAATTCATAGTACAAAACCTTAGCCTTGAATTTTGACTGGGATGGATGCTTCCACAACTTTTCCAGGTCAGTGTTGAGATGGAACACATAAAGAATCCAGCAATGAGAATACCCTTCAAGACCTTCAAGAGATGCTGAAGGAACCCGAGCAGCATCAAACTTTAACCGTGCCCTTGCAAGAGGTACAAGTAAAGGCTGTCTTGGTGTCCCATTTCTGGAAAAACAAGAAACATACATCAGTGAGAAAAACCAAGATAGCAAGGTTATTATGGCACTATATCTATTTGCATTTGACAATTTGATGTAAAAAGCACAAAACAGACACTGGCATAATAAACTCCAGATGGGATGATGGATAAAACATTTTAATTAGCTAAGCTGGTGATGGTAACCCAAAAATTTCACTCACTGAAGAATGTCCAAATCTGTTTCAGAAATTTTCAATCTGCAACTTATGAACCTGTGTTTACAGGATTTCATTGTCCCTATCCTACTGCTCTCTCGGTCTCTACCTGGTCATTAGAATAAAAATGCACCAACTATTGTAGCATGCTTATGAAACCGTATCAGATATAGTGATGGAGATAATGGACATAGCATCACCATCCAGTATTAACAGACAATCTTAGCAAGTAGTTAGCCATTTCCTTCTTTATGTAGTCTACATAATGTCAGGATTTTAAGTACCTGGACTTTTAGATTGAGGGAACCTGGGGACTTTTTACTGTCCTTCACAACTATACAGTAAAAATAGCTTTTTTCCTTTCTTCCTTCTTTTTGCTTATATACCCTGCATTTACATAATATTTGTGTTGTCAGAAAGATTCAATTTCCACTTTCATGGTTCTTGCACATCTCATTCGTTCTTTCCAATGAAGGATTCCAAACAACATATTACAAGACTGCAGCAAAGTGTGAAAAGCTAACATTGCAAACTCAAAGGGTTTGGTGCTCGATATCTGAACAATGCATTACTCAACAGGCAAAATTTTACAGTTCCTTGCTAACAAAAAATTTCACTATGCATACTTCTCCTGATTACCTTGTAGAGAAGCAAGACTGGATCACTGCAATTGGTGCCATGGGATATGAACTCAACTCGTAACTTTCTGAATTTTGCTGAACCAGTGCTTTCCTCAAAGCCTGCAACATCAATTATGAGAAAAAAAACGCTTCACAAGACAAAAGACAAAATGCATTATGTACCAGAGATCAGAGTATCACATGAATTTAATCAGCCACAATTTTCATCAAAAAGATTAGTCTACATTACGAAGGTGTGATGTTCTCCTCATATCTGAGGTTTCTTTCTTTAGTTTTATATGATGGAGAAACAACCTCAGAAAGGCATTATGTAGCCGTGTAAATACAATCCCTCCCTAAGAATTACCCGTATAGCAACAAGTTGTCTTTCCGATTCTAGGTCCAGATCAATGAAGCAGCTACAGAGTCTAAAATAGAAAACTTACAGACACACAACTAACAAAATTCCCTTAATTAAGATTATACTGTTGAAGACTGACAAGCAGAGTGGAGCATCGGTACAGGAAGAGCCAAAAGAAGAATATATAGCTACTTTTTTTATTGATTTTGAGCATTTAGCAATAACAATCTGTTAAACGAGCTAAAGGGCAGCTCTTTCCCACAAAGATTTTTGCTGTGATGTAACTGAAATTCCAACCTCTACATTCATCATTCTGGGCATGGAAATTTCTTCCAAATTTCTGTTAACTGACGGCAATCAATAGTTAAAACTTAAAAGTCCATCCAAAAAATTCACTCACATTAGTGGGTTCTGATGACTAGAGAATCTATTATACCTGCTGAGCTTTAATTCGGCCTTGCCTCTCGGCAGCACACTTTTCCAACGCATTCTTAAGGGATGCTTCAAGTCCTTGAATTCTTGCGTCCTCACCGTCCTTCGACTTTCTTCTCCAAAAATACACTGCAAACCCCCATGGCCACAACAAAGACCAAAACTTTAGAGGGTTCTGTGCATAATGACCAATACTAAAGAGAGGATATAGGAAGAATACCAGTAGAAGCAGAGAGTGTTGCAGCAGCAAAAGCAATGGTGAGTGTTAACCATTTGGGGTTGTAGACCGCCATGAACTGAACTGGTTAATGGTAATAATCAGAATTCTCACCTTCTAGTTTATTTGTTAAGAGGTTGCATTAAGCACCCTTTGATTTGCTTCAAATCACGCTTTTAGTTTATTAAGCTAAGAGGTTGCGTATAATTACATTAAGCACCCTTTGATTTACTTCAAATTATGCTTCCAACTGTCCCCCTGAACCTTTCTGGGACAAGAACCTTTTCACTGGCCCGGGATTGCACTAGAACTATTGAATATAATATCCGCTTGCATTTGAAAACTCCGTCACCATTAAAATATTCAACTTTAATACCATGAAGTTTGTTGGTTTCAATCATTTTTTCCCCCTTTTTCAGCACATGATCAGACACGCACCTACGGAGCAGAATTAATTTAATATGTCTTTTCTCTCTTAAATCTGGTATAAATTCCACCAAGTACTGCCTTTTTTTTTTTTTTTTTTTAACTTCTTCTTGATATAATATGCAAACGTTGAATAAGTTGAATATGCATCTGGGATTGGAGGCTTCAAAATGTCTACAATTTAGCAAATTTCTAGTTATGTGGCGAGTGGTTTCAACCATTGTGTTTTTTCTGGTATTGGTGATATTGTCATTCTTGCAAAATAGAGGGAAAGAACAGGTTGGTAGTAGGTAAGTACACAATAAAATAAAAATCATGCCTTTTCATCTGAGTTTGGCATCTTTGTATTCTTGCAGTGCTAAACTATCTCACACACTGAAAGAAGAGAACAAAGAAAAATCCATAGTTTTATATGCATCAGTTTTCAGTGAAGTAGTTAAAACGTTGACTGCAGCAGGTAATGCATATTATACCGTTAGACATTTTGTTGATATTTGTGGTATTCATATACGCATGTTGGAGTCTTTATTAGTGAGGAGGAAAATGCAATGATGTTTGTCAGATGCTTCTGAGAAAAAATGTGTTTTGGTGTCTAGGCTGTGCTTGTGAAATTCAAGATTCTTTCTATCCTTTGAATTAGATGTTCACAGAGATGAGAGAAGGAGACAACTTATGCTGTCAATCTCTTTCCTCGTTGTTGGCTCTGTTGCTGCTCTTGTCATTGTTGAATTGCTCTGATTGGTACGATTGGTCTTCTGGGGGTGAATAATTTTAACCTCAAATCAAGTTTTCAATTACAGAATCGAAACTTGCTTCGTACTGTCCCTGAAAGTTGCAAAGATTTTCGGCTTCAGTTCTTCATTTGTTTCCATGAGGTCACCCCTGTTTGTACTGATTTGAGCATATTTCAAATATTCTGATTGTTTCATGAAGATTGAGAATTAATGTAACTAACAATTTGGTGATTATTTCCCCTAGTTAGGATCTTTGTAAAGTTTTTCTTGTTTTCTCTTTTTTCCCCCTCATTTGTTATAAGTTTCTTACACTTGAATTAACTTGCCCATTTGAGAACCCTGCATTTCCTCAGATGTAGATTAATTTTTTTTTATTGTGATGCAGTAAGTTAGAAGGTGTCCAAGCTAACACTACAGTCTGTTCAGAAATGAGAAAAAATAATTGCTCTTGGGTTCCAGTATTGGAGGAGTTCACTTTTATTGCTAAGTCTGCACCGTTTAATAACTGTCATGCTTCTACCATTGTTGAGGTAATACTGTTTAAATTGACATTATTCAGTCAAATATAATATTTTCTGTGTTTACCACTAATCAATTGTTAATCCGATAGGTTGATAAAGGTCATTTTTTGGTTGCTTATTTTGGTGGCACGGTAGAGGGAGCCCCTGACGTGAAAATTTGGATACAGACATATAAGGTAATTATATCCTCATCCAGGAAGACTTTGTCAGTGAATTGTGTTACATTTCTTTATAGTGCCGAAGAATGATGATGATATGGATCTGCATTTGAAGGATGTAAGTTCCTCTGTCTAATCTCCGGGTTGAAAAGATGAATCAACTGTGTTATTTCTATTTTCTTCTTGCTTTATTGTTTTTGGAGGTCTTCACTTGAGAATGACTAAATGGTACTTGAACGTGGGCACCATTACCTAGATTGCTGTTTTTTCTATCATACAACATCGGAACTTAATTCAACTTAGCAAGGATTGCATCAATATACAGCTTTCTTCTTAGCATGCCTCCAGTCAAAACTGATTGACATCTCTATTAGAGAAATGTTCATGTTGGTTTTTGTTCTAAGCATTTGGCAGAGAAGAACGGAACCACCCGCCATCAATTACAATTCCTACAGCAATAACGTTTTCCTTGATTATTCAGTGCATAATGAGAGATTATTCTGAACAGGATGGCCTTTGGAACCCTCCTGTTATTGCAGATGAAGAATACAATGTTTCAATGTGGAATCCTGTATTATTTAAGCTCACCTCGAATGAATTGCTTTTATTCTACAGAATTGGGCAAGACGTTCAAAAGTAAGTCTGCAGGCTTTTCATGTATGGCAGTACTGAATGACTTTTATTTTCATACGATTAATATAAACCCTCCCATGATGTTTGGTGCTTTAAATAGTACTACCTGGGTACACGCTTGAAGCCCATACTGGCAATCAAGGACAGGGTGAAAGGATGTTAGAGTTGAAAGAATAGTTTTATAGACTGGAGAGAGGTTGGATATTAGTATGTATAAAGAGCAAGCGCTAACTTGACCTAGATAAGATTGGAGGTCGAGTGGAATGAATGCTAGAGTGTGGAAGTGAAGGGTCCCTGCTTTGTATGGTCTTGTTTAAATAGGAATATGATGCATGAGAAGAAATTGTGGACTTTTGTGCTAGGAGAGCAACCCTCTTTCTTCTAATTAGCAATTTGGCTAATAAAAGAGGACATAGATCACCCAAATATTTGTACAACCTGAATCTGATGTATCCTAGTATGAAGCTGATAACTCCAAATATTTGAATTTGATTATGTTACATGCGTTCATCAACACAGCACTACGTTTCTTGTAAGAGAAGTACCATACTTGGTAAGCCAACTAATACATCTGATATCTTCTGTTTTTCTTCTTTTAACCTGAAATAACACTGGAAATAGTTACATTTGCTGCTACATGAGATTATTTAAGCACGTCTGATTAGTTGATAGACAGGACAATCCTCTCTTTTTCCCGTACCCAAAATCAGCAGAGTCTAATCTATATTCGTTGGATGGTCATGAACATAGGCTGTACTTAAAAGCCTCTTTTGGTAGAATCTTTTGTTGTTTTTGCAAATCCGAGTTGAGGGAAACAATAAGCCACTTGAGCACATTATCATTTTACGTAGTTGCCTGTTCCTTTTACTGGATCTGCGGCTTGGAGATTGGACATGGGATGTTCAACTTAATTGGGCCCCTGAGAGACAAGAATTGAAAAGAGACGGAGAATTTATCCACTTTAATTTTCCCATGTGATCCATGCGTCTTCAGTATTCTAAAAGTATCAAGTAACCTTCTGCTTATGATTTCATAAATATCAGATGGAGTGGATTCATGAAGCGGTCTGATGATGGAGGCATCACTTGGAAAGAAAGGGAACAACTTCCTCCCGGTATTTTGGGACCAATTAAGAACAAGGTACTGCCGAATTCGCTGCTATTATGTTGATTCTTTTGAGCTGTGCTTTCTTCACTCACTGATTAATGTTTCTCAGCCCATCTTGCTTGCAAATGGGGACTTGGTTTGCGGATCTTCTGTTGAGAGTTGGAATTCTTGGGGCGCTTGGATTGAGGTTGTAATGATATTTCACTATGCCGTGACTTCTATCTCAATCTTGTTTTGAAGGAACCCATAGAGATAATTGTTAAACAAGTTTTTCCTCTGAAACAGATAACTTCAGATGCAGGTAAATCATGGAAAAAGTATGGACCAATATACATTGAGAATAATCCTCTCAGTGTGATTCAACCCGTTCCGTACCTGACTGCAAATGGAGCCTTGCGCGTGCTGCTGAGATCATTTACAAACATAAGTAGAATTTGTATGTCAGAATCTGAAGATGGAGGTCACAGCTGGAGCTTTGCAAAGCCTACAGAACTTCCGAACCCAAACTCAGGTTGTTATTGAAATAGCATACCTGCGAATGGACATAGATGATAGATCTTTTTAGATTATGGTGAAAGAATGCAAGTAACTATACATAACATCCCTGTCCCAGGTTGAATGTCTTGCTTTTCTTTTCAGTACATTCCAAAGTAATCGCCACTTTCCTTAATTAGAATATTACCAGATCCCAAAAATGTAATGATCTCCTGCGTTTCCCATTGTCTTTATTAGTTTCAATAACCTACCATAAACTTAAACTCTTTCTCTTGATATAGTATCCTAGCTTCTCCAGTCAAACTCAGACACTAATTAAGTCTGAGGGGAGGTGACTAACCTGTTATAAGAATTTTGTACAACTCAAGGTTATGTACTAGAATACTGTCATGAGAACTTAAATCTAAGATGAGTATGAAGTTGGGAACTAGCTGATAGAAAGTAGGAATACCTTTTCTATGACATACACGTATTGGTCCATTTATTTCACAGTTTGCAGGCATTATGTTTTTATAGATTTGAACCCACACAAGAAGCAGATGTTGCTCCAGGTTTAAATTAATTCCATCTCCTGAACAATTTACTTAGAATGCAACCTATTTGATATGACATTGTGAAATTTTTAGTTTATCTTGTTAATGCTCTTCAATCAGGAGCGCCTTTATCTGGACCATACCATTCGCACTAGAAATGATTTCTAATTTGTCTTGCCCGCTAATGTTTTTGAGTTTAATGGTTAGGTATTGATGGGGTGAAGCTGAGAGATGGACGTCTTTTGGTAGCTTATAATACAATCTCGAGGGGTGTCCTCAAAGTTGCTGTCTCCCCTGATGATGGAGACTCATGGCAAGAGGTGACAACGCTAGAGGAGACTGAGGGAATGGAGTTTTCATATCCAGCTGTTATCCAAGCTAGTGATGATCTAGTTCACATCACATATACGTACAACAGGACACAGATTAAGGTAACAAAATTTTGTACGATCAGGTGATGCATTATTGTTGTCGATCCAATGTTCATTCCCTTTTTTGTTTTTTCAGCATGTAGTCCTTAATCCCATTTGATCAAGTGGCGCATTTTAAAGTCAACTCGTGGATGAAAGAAGGTACTTTGTCTGTCTCTATGCAAATACTAGAGTTACATGTTATTAGCATTTCTAACAACTGCTTCTTGAATTTTTTTTTTTTCTTTTGAGCGATCATTATATTAGCCCATTTAGATGCAACTGTATTTGCTTCTGATTGTTGGCTGGTTATGAATTTTGTGCCCTTTCAGCTTAGGGCCTTGTGAAATGATTTTTTGACTGTTCATGCAAGTTCTTGAATTTTACCCATTGGATATGTAAAGCTAAAAGTTATGGTCCTAGAGTAAATTATATTCGCGATATGGTGATATGAATATCTAGTGGATGTTCTTCATTTTAGATTTCCTTGCTTTTTTGCCCCTAAAATTGTCGAAATCAGTTTTGGTGATGTTCACTTCATACAAGTGAAGTTGGATAAGCAACTTCTAAAGCCAACCAACTTGGGTCAATATCTAGTGGATCTTTTGATAGCCTAAGTCATGAAGTTTTAGTTACTTTGGGAGGCTAGTTTAGTTGCTGGCTTGTTGCTTCTCCATGTAAGCTACTTCATTTTCACATTGGTACGGTTAGTTCAGACTGTATGCAACGGTAAAAGGATACTCAAGAGACTTGAAGTTGATCCTGAGCAGTGGCCGCTGGATGCTCAAACGAAGAGTTGCTGTTTATGAATCGTGGATCTTCCTTTGTTCAAATGATGATAGACCCTTAATATGCTTTGGAGCTCCATTTTTTTTTTTGGTGAAAATTTGGACAATTTGGATTGAAGTTGTTAAAAAAAAAAAAGTGATGATATATGTGGACCTTGTGGTGAAAGATTGGTGTCAAATACCTCAATGGATAAATACGCAAGAGCGACCTTTTTAGTACAAGAATCTCTTGCAGGAACTTCTAAAGATGTCATGAAAGCTCAGTTAAGTTGGATGTTGGCTCTTAACAGAGTTCGAAAAAGGGATTCTAAGCAAATAGATAAGCAAAGGGATACCTCTTCCACCGGCAAAAGATGCAGCCGGCCAAATCCAATAGCAGAGCTGTTGCTTTTGATTTTTCTACTTTGAAAAGCTGAGAGCTCAAGTCGATCAACATCTGCAGCATCCCACAAGTTCAGGAACTGATCATGACAAATGGTCGGTAAATTAACATTATCCCAATGGATAACTGATTGGAATTTTGTAGTTTGGGGTGTGGGGAAGGACTTGTCCGGCAGAAACAACCCATTAGCCGACCTTAACAGAGGAAGTTGAATAAAACTTTTTTGATTGTCTGCATTTCACAATTCTAATGGCATAAACCTGTTGATCATCTTTACAGGATAAATATTTGAGTGAAATTTGGCTTCCAAGTAGGTAATAACACAGAAACAAGCATAACACAGGTCATCCCTCTGTCACGGTGACCCAAAGAGTATTATAGGTTAGAACTAAACTAATCAAACTTAGAAAGATCCACTTAAAGCTCAAATAATTCCTTCATTCTCTGTTTGTAGCTGTTAATAAGTACACTATTATTACTCATGCAAAGATCCTTGTGTTCTTTAACTACTGCGCTGCATGGACATTCTGGTTACATTTTTCTTTGATAATTTTACCAGTTGCTAGTACTATCTTCTTAATGACTTCCAACTTTTTAAATTGTGTTCAACAGCTCAAGCCCTTGAAATTGATTTCAGAAATGGTTCTTTTTCTTTTTCTTCTTCCTTTTTTTTTTTTTTTTTTTTTTTTGTGTGCAGGGTTTTATCGTTTTATCGCAGGAGGGAGATGAGGATTGGATGCATGGAAAGGGGTTGTGCTTCGAGTGATGAACTTTTTTTTTTCCTCTAGTTGTAACTCAGTTAACCTTATACTGAAATTCAAAATACTACTATTTTCTGAAAAATCTATTTCTAAATAAAAATAGAAAACTGAAGGAAAAAAAAAAATCCAAGGAGACAGTTGTGTATAAGAAAAGGACATGTTAGTGGAAATGATCTGGCCTCTTGTTTGAACTGGGCTCAGCCCCGTGTGTCACGTGTCAGGACTCTCTTCCAAATAGCCCAATAAAGGAAGTTGTTGGTGGGTCAAGCCCATATAATGTTGTACTTGCCCAATAGATTCAGGTTGGTCTTATCTATCTCAGGAGCCGCTATTGGGTCTACAGCGACAAACCAAAATGGTGGGGTTTACCTTTTCCTGTTTGTGGGTCTCGCTAGTCCTTCTGGGATAATTATATGATACAAAAAAGTCAAAATCATGGGAGGCAATCCGTAATCGCTGGTTAAAGTGATTGAAGTTTGACAAATTCCATAAAGAGAATAAATAATATGCTTTGCATTTTTCTTATGGGTAAATCCATGCCTCCACTTTAGTCGACCAGTGACTTGTATCAACCTTCAGTCGGTCGATGTTTGACTTTACTTTCCTTCCAATTGACTGGTCCTTGGACAAAAGAAGATTATTTGGAATAATTTTTTTTTTTTAAAAAAATACTATAACACTTTTTTTGACATTACGTATATGAGATAAAAAAATAATTAAAAAAATATTTTAATAAATTTTTGTAAATAATCCATTATTCAAACTAACATACACTATAAGTTGTATACAAGTTCTTGAGACTACTTTTTTAAGATTTCGAACCGCCTTTCAAAGTAGCATGCTTCCACATTACAAATAAAATATATGTTATGATATTATGTCTCTTTTTTTTTTTTTTTTGGTAGTAATGATATTATGTCTCTGAAAAATTGATTAATAATACCATGTACGACTATGTGAGCCTAATTAGATTACATAAAAAAAAAAGGACCCTACTATTTGTTCTTCGATTTGTCTTCCCTTTTATTTGATAAATTCAAAGGACTAGATAATTTGTAAAACAATTTTGCGATCCCAGAACTCGCATTGTTTATATATATGTGGGTATGTATATATATATATATATATATATATATATATATATATATATATAATTAGTTTACAAGTATGATGCCCATGTTGCCTCCCCAATTTTAGTTCCAACCAGATTTGGGAGCAGACTAGTAGCTGGGAAGCCGAAAATGGAGAGCAGAACATGGTCAACAACCAATAATAAAGTTCAAAAGCAAAAAGAACGCGTAAATGGAAATTGGAAATCGATCTTCACTTTGCCTGAAGAAGTCAGCTGCCTCCAAACGTTCATATATACTCTCGCTCACATGCTGTTGCGAGCATCTAACCAAAACTACACTTCAACTCGGATTCCGGGGGGGGGAATAGGGATCGATGCATGTTTTCCGCAGACCTCACTTTTTGCATTAAATGAGAAGTGTCACTTTTCTTTCTTGACCAGAAATAAAGGCAGATCGATATACACATTTTATTTCCTGCCCCTTTTTGCTGAGACTGCAGGGCCAATTAATGGGGTAGGAACCGAAAACGAAAAGTAGAACTTAGATCCCAATGTTTACCAGCAGCCTCTCGTAATGCCAGGGAGTGCGGGAATCGACATTGTTGACTTGCACATTTCTTTAGGCAAATGCTAAACAGTAAACACACAGAAGCCACAAACTCTTACCAGTCCATTTCTCCAAAGTCCAAACCATTCCTTGCATCCACATTGCACTGGCTTTTAACAAAAAGACTTGGAAGAGGTGAAAGAAAAACATAAAAACTTTCATGGCTTCATCATATGCATTTATGCTTGTGCACCTCCATTCATTGTATTCTAACTACCCAAATTAAATGAAGTAACTAAACACAAGCATTTTTTGTCACTAGTATTGATTCGCATTCTACAGGTGGGACAAAGATTAAGGTGATAGAAACATAAAGACCAAAAGATAAAACATAAATGAGAAAAATAAGAAAGTACAAGAAACTTTAGAGTTGAGATTATGCTGTAACATTTTTTTTTGATGTGATATATGATAGATAAAAAGATAATTAAAAAAATAAAAAATTAATTAAGAAGAATACATGTGATGAAACGTAAAATTTTTTTTTTAAAAAAAAAACAGGACCTATCCAAACATAGTCAATTGTTGAGCATTTCAACGAACAACTTCACATGATACTATACTACTATTAGTAAATAGGACTTGTATTATTTTCCCTCAAGATATATGCCTTTCCATATTAGGTGGTTTATATAAACTGTCTAATAAGGAATTTTCTCACTAACAGATTCATTATCATCTTAAATCTTAATCTCCTTAGCAAATGGATTATATTGATTGTGAAACCATACCTAAATGTCTCAATAATTATCTCTCTTTGAAACACAAGAAGTTAACGAACGGAAATTTGTAGAACGTCTGGAAGGGAAGTTTATTGTTTAACTAATTATAGCAAACCCCGGATACCTCAGTGCAATTCATTAACTCCCATACAATTAAACTGACGTGTTATTTCCTTGAAGTGCCACTTGGTGCTTGCTTGGCTTCTTAATTGCCTGCCAACTGTTTTTGTCTGGATCAAAGTTCGGGTTTCCGTCCAAATTGGCAAGTTCCAAATTATGGTCGACGGATTTCATTTCCAAGTTTCAGCGATCACAGGCATTGAACTTTGTGTTTGCAGCTGGGAATTCTGCTGTCTTTCCCATTTGGCTGCCTAGCTTGCCAGCTACTCCTCTTGGGGACTTGATCTTTACTTCTTTTGCCACTGGCCTCAAATTTCAGCAAAATCTGTTGCTAAAGATCCCATCCACACATAACCCTGCCTAAGTATTGAAAATCCCAACTTCGCCTTCTAAAGTTGTGAATGGTCATTTTGTCTTCTTGATTTGTTGCATGCATGCAACATGCCAAGTGTCCTGTGTCGTAATTGTTGTGTGTGTGTGTGTGTGTTTTTTTTTTTCTTTTGTTTTCATGCTGCCTTGGTCCCGCCAATGAAGTAGTTGTTTTTGAATTTTCTTTCACAAAGATTGCTAGATCGTTTTTCCAGGAACTTTGATATCTTGGCATCTAATTTGCATGCCAAATTTCATTAGGAGCAGACTCCAACAGAGGTACGTAAGGGTAGGGTTTTGGATGTATTTTTGTTGCGGGTTCAATGTCTCTTGACTTTGTTAATGGCTCCAAAATTTTCTGTCGACTTTGCTTTAATTTCGTGGCTTGGTATTTGGATACAGGAATCATTTTATAACGCGATTTGGATCTTATATAACGTTTCTATACTGGTTGATGAGTAGTTTTACGCGTGAAACTTGTCGATTTTTGCTGAAAGATACAAAGGAAATAATGTTTGGATAATATGCTACAACTAATTAAAGAATACTCAACTTTCATTGTTCTTCGATAATAAATTTAGTTGAGCTCAATGCATGGCAAAAAAAAAATTCAGGACAATCCACTGATCGACAGAAATTGTGAATATTCTTAGAATAAGTGATATACCTTCTGGGATAGCAAGTAATTGAGGTTTCAATAAGTCTTAATAATTGAATTTATGAGCCAAAACTTTAGTGTTTTTAAACCAAAGGTATTTGAACATTGGGTGTATTCAACTCTTTTCTTTGCCGAACTGTTGTGGTTAACTTCCTGAGCAAGGAAGTATTAGGGAAAAGCAGAAAAGAAGTAAAGCAAGATTGAGAGAGAGAGAGAGAATATTAGAAAGAAGATCGGAAATGAAATGAGAGTGAAATTGATTTCCAAAAGCTGTTGAACCAATACATCCTTCGGTTATTTATACAAGACTATGCTTAATGCATGCAAAAACGTCCAGCTAACAGAAAAGATTCCTTCTAACTAACTCCTCCAGCTAGGATGCCAGCTTGGCATAACTGACGAATGATCTTCTTGGATTTTGCCAGGACATAACATTGCCCTCCCCTTCAAACAATCCTAGTCTCTAGGATTTAATTCTGGAAATTGCACTCGGATAAAGGACCAGTCTTCCCAAGTGGAGTCATCCTTGCCCAAATTCTCCCATTCAATCAACACTTGCTCAACTTCTTGACCCTTCCTGTAAATGACTCTTCTGTCTAGAATGGCCTTGGGAGCTACTTGAACTCTCCCTCCACAGTTGCTTGGGGGGGTGTAGGATGGATTTGGCTCCCATTGGCAGACTTCTTAAGGAGAGAAATGTGGAACACGGGGTGCACTGAACATCTGGCAACTTCAGTCTATACGCCACTGATCCCACTTTCTGCTCAACCTGGTAGGGTCCATAATACCTTGCAGACAACTTCAGGCTTCTCCTAAAAGCCACGGAAGTTTGTCTATATGGCTGTAGCTTGAGGTACACCCAATCTCCCTCCTCAAAATTCCTATCCGTCCTTCTCTTGTCCGCTAGTTGCTTCATTCTATTCTGTGCCTGCAACAAGTTTTCCTTAAGTAAGGTATTCCAATCTACCCTTTCTCTGGTCCAATCCTTCACTGCAGCAGCTAGTGTTTGCGTAGGTGATAGAGTGAGCTGTGAAGGTTTGTACCCATAGAGGGCCTGAAAGGGAGTCATGGACAGACTAGTATGGTAGTTAGTGTTGTACCATCACTCAGCCGTAGGTAGCCACTTCTTCCACTTTCCTGGTTGTTGCATGCACATACTCCTAAGGTAAGTTTCCACACATCTGTTGACTCTCTCTGTCTGACCATCTGATTGGGGATGGTATGCAGAAGAGAAACTAAGTCTAGTTCCCAGCAATTTGAAGAGCTCCTGCCAGAAAATGCTGGTGAAAACTCTGTCCCTATCAGACACAATGCAAGAAGGCAGTCCATGGAGCTTGAAGATTCGATCGAAGAAAACTTCTGCAATCCCCTTAGCCGTGTAATGAGAGGTTATAGGGATGAAATGTGCATACTTAGTGAACCTGTCTACCACCACATAGATGGCATCACTTCTTAAGGACTTAGGCCAGCTTTCTATGAAGTCCATTGAAATTTGCTGCCAAGCTTGATCTGGGATGGCTAGTGGTTGTAGCAGTCCAGGGTATGGACAATTCTCAGACTTGCTCTTGTTGCAAATATCACACTTCTCCACGTAAACCTTTATATCCTTCCTCATGTTAGGCCAGTAAAAGAAAGGTTTCATCCTCTGATAGGTGTCTTGAATCCCTGAGTGACCACCCCAGCAGGTATCATGAAAACATGAAATCAAGTTTTGCCTGAGGTCAGATCCTGATCCTACAAAAATTCTGTCCATGTGCCTTATGACTCCCTTTTGGTACGTGTACTCAGGGTGAGAGTTGGTACCTGTGGTCAAGGCTACCACCAACTCCTTGATACTATCATCACCAACATAACTGTCAACCACTAGCGAGAGCCACTGAGGTGCAACTGCTGACATTGCATGCACTTCTACCATCACATGTTCTTCTCTTTTCTTCACTCCATTCCTTCTGTTCTCCTAGAGAGAGCATCAGCCACCACGTTCTCTTTTCCCCTTTTATATTGAATTTCATAGTCCATTCCCATCAACTTTCTGTTGTAATGGTGTAGTGATTTTCTGGTCAAGTAAGTACTTCAAACTCTCATGATCAGTTTTAATCACAAAGTGCCCTCCTAATAGATAATGTTTCCATTTCTGAACTACAGTCATTAATGACAGCAGCTCCTTCTCATATATGGACAAGGTCTGGTTCTTTTTACCCAATACCTGGCTCATATAGGCTATGGCCCTTTCTTGCTGCATCAAAACAGCTCCAATGGCAGCTTGGCTTGCATCAGTTTCCAAAACAAATGGCTTAGTAAAGTCTGGTAAAGCCAAGACTGGTGTAGTGCTCATAGCTTCTTTTAACTTCTGGAATGCTTGATCTGTTTCTGTACTCCAAGTGAACTGCCCCTTCTTAAGCAGCTCAGTAAGGGGTCTGGCAATCACCCCATAGCTTTTCACAAACCTCTTATAGTAACCTGTCAACCCCAGGAAGCCTCTGAGTGCTTTAATATTGGTGGGGGCAGGCCAACACAGCATAACTTCAACCTTTGCTGGATTAGCACTCACACCTGTCTCAGTGACTATGTGGCCTAAATACTCTACTTGATTCTGGCCAAATGTGCACTTGGACAATTTAGCATAGAGAGAGTGTGTTCTTAGGGTGATCAATACCAAGGACAGGTGGTGTAAATGAGTGGAAAGGTCAGGGCTATAAATCAGGATGTCATCAAAGAATACAAGGACAATTTTTCTAATGTAAGGTTCAAATACAGAATTCATTAAGGCTTGGAAGGTAGCAGGTGCGTTTGTTAAACCAAAAGGCATAACAAAGAACTCATACAATCCAAAATGTGTTCGAAAAGCTGTTTTTGGAATGTCATCAGGAGCCATTCGAATTTGGTGATAACCTGATTTGAGGTCTATTTTGGAAAAAAATTTGGCTCCATGTAGCTCATCAAGGAGATCATCTATTATGGGAATGGGAAATTTATCTTTGCTGGTCAAGCTGTTCAATTGTCTGTAATCAATGTAAAGTCTCCAACTGCCATCTTTTTTTTCACCAAGAGAGCTGGAGAGGCAAATGGGCTATGACTTCTCTGAATGATACCAGAGGTTAACATTTCCTTGACTTGTCTTTCTATCTCTGTCTTTTGGGAATGAGGGTACCTATAGGGTGCAATTTTGAAGGGTCTAGCATCTGCTTTAAGTGGTATTTTATGGTCATGAGTTCTGGATGAGGGCAAGGTTTTTGGATAAGAAAAAATGTCCTCATATTCAGCCAGTAATTCAGTAAGAGAGTTAGGTACACTAGTCACCTGACAGTTGTGAACCTTCACCATACAAGATTGTTGCAGAGCTTTTCCGACCCTGTGCCGGATGACTTTGCCAGCAGCCTCTCCTTTCCTGAGTTTCACCTGTGCCGTCTCAGAGTTCCCCTTCAATAGGACTTGTTCCTACTCTTTGTCAAAAGTTATCTGTAATGCTTTAAAATCGAATGTCAGGGGACTATACTTCTTCATCCAATCAACTCCAATTATCATGTCGTAAGGTTCAAGATCCAAAACAAATACATCATGCTCAAATTGATGGCCCTGGATCTCCCACGTTATCTGAGGCACCCACTGATCACAATGCAAAACTTTACCATCTGCAATTTTGACTTTGAAAGGTCTATGTTTCCTGATTTTCTCAGGATATAACAGTGCAACTGCAGGTCTGATAAAACAATTAGTACTCCCACCATCCACTAAAACTGATAGTTGATGATTACCATACAGTCCTTGCATTTTGATGGTGCTAGAAGACAACTCACCTGAGACAGAATGCAGAGCCAACACCACTGCTTGATCTGCATTAGTACCCCTGTACTCAATGACCTCCTCCTCTTCTCCCTTATCCGATTCATCCTCATCTATCAGCAACATGTGAAGCTCCTTGTTCTTACAAGTATGTCCAGGGGAGAACTTATCCCCACATCTAAAGCACAGATGGTGGTCCTTCCTGTACTGAAACTCAGAGTGTGAGATTTTCTTAAAGACAGGCTGCGAGTCACTCTTTTTCTTGGTTTCTTCACTATTGTTTAGTTGTATCCTCCTATTTCCATTGACGCCAGCGTGTCCCCCACTGAAACTAGATGGCAGCGGATTCCTATAAGCCACTCTATTATTTTTGAAGAGTGCTTCCAAGAGGTGCTCCTGCCACCTAGCTTTCTCAAAAATCAATTGAAGAGAGTCTGGTTTGTGCATTTTCACAGCAGACTTGATTTCATTCTTTAATCCACTCAAGAAGTAGGAAACGTAATAGGATTCTGACAGATTGGGAACCTTAGCCATCACCAATGCTCTAAGTTCCTCAAATCTCTCCTGGTAAGCTAATACGGACGAGGTCTGTTGCAGCTTGTTGAATTCCTTAATGGCATCATCCTCTCCCAGTTCTCTAAATCTTCTACAAAGTTCCTCCTTAAATTCGTTCCAACCAACGCCTCCCTTGTCTCTTTTGAAGTTTTGGTATCATAGGTCATCTCGCTCTTCCAAGTGTAATTCTGCCATATCTACCCGGCTCTCTTCAGAGATCCTGCAAAGGTGGAAGAATTTTTCGCACTTCCTCACCCACTCCCTGGGGTTGCTCCCATTAAATTGGGGAAATTCCAGCTTGGGAACAGCCACAGTGTAGTGATTCCTCACTGCTACTCCCCCACTAGTTCCTCCTTCCACCATTCTCCCAGCTTGAGTCCCACTATTGTGGTTCGGGCTCCCCAGATCCCCCTATCTCCATGCACACCCCCGCAAAGTTATTGAACTGATTGCTCATATCCGCCATGAATGTCTTCATCTCCAATCTATTGGCTTCCAGCAGTGTCTTCATATCTTGGAAGGTATCTTTCACCTTTTCTTCCAATGCTGCTGTAAAATCCAAAACGGTCTGGATCCGTGCCTCCTGTTTGCGCAGCTGTTCTTCGAAGCTCTTCATCCTGGTTCCTTCGGCCATGGTTAGTTTCAGCTGATAGTCCAAGGACCACCAACTCTAATACCACTGTTGTGGTTAACTTCCCGAGCAAGGAAGTATTAGGGAAAAGCAGAAAAGAAGTAGAGCAAGATTGAGAGAGAGAGAGAGAATATTAGAAAGAAGATCGGAAATGAAATGAGAGTGAAATTGATTTCCAAAAGCTGTTGGACCAATACATCCTTCGGTTATTTATGCAAGACTATGCTTAATGCATGCAGAAACGTCCAGCTAACAGAAAAGATTCCTTCTAACTAACTCCTCCAGCTAAGATGCCAGCTTGGCATAACTGACGAATGATCTTCTTGGATTTTGCCAGGACATAACACGAACCCATCAAAAAATTTTTGTATTTGTATTTTTGTTTTGCTAGTTTCGAATGATGCTAGATTTTTAGTTGAGAGAAAACAAGTGGAAGACTCAGAGGAGATCTTTACCAGTACTGAGCTTACAAAACCCTAATAGAAAATTGAGGATTTATTTTTTTTATGTGAAGGATAATGTTTATGTTCACTTGTATCTTTTTACATTTCCTCCATTAAACAAAACATAAGTGGATTGTTGCTTTTTAAATTGCTTAAATTAGTTTTACAATATCAAAAGTGAATGCATTATGAATGATGAGACATGGGATTCCAGAAGAATGAACTTTCAGGAACTTAAATTTTCAATTCCTCATGCTTTTGACTATAAAACTAAATACCAAAACACCTGCAAATCATTGCAATTAATTGGAATTCCTAGCAACTGTGACCTTTAGAGATAGTATTGATTGACAATGGAGATCCCAAATCGCAATTATGTCAGAGTTTTGTCCTTCAACTCCCACCTCTATAATCCACGATTTGTCTTTTTTTTTTTTAAAGAAATTGCACAATTTGTCCAAAAACATATGTCAAGCACTTGGGATACAGAATATTAGGCATTAAGATATATAGCAAATCTCAACCCAATCTCTTTTTTAGTGTACCACCACTTGTAACTTTTGAAACAGCTTAGTAGAATCCTCTTTCCTTGTTCTCCAATTATTTGAACAATATCCACTGCATATATCAATAGGAAGTCGAGAATTCCACCTCAGT